CTAGCAATTTTCAAGCATACAAAGAGCAAAAAACTTAGTTTAGCAACTTTCTCAAATTCCAATATTTTCAGAAGACGACGATGTTCGCCTAAAAACCTTTCTCGACAAGTACAGACTGATGATTGAAGAATCCGCAAAATATATCAAAAAGTGGAAATTATAAGCTTTGCCATTTAGCTATTCAGTTGGCGTTGTATAAAATTTTACATAATTGATTTAAAACGACACTCTCAATACCAAACTCTGAACTAAAAATATGCACAAAAATTTACAACAAGATCTAAAAACATCAACGTATTGGCGTAGTAAAGTAAATGATTGGCGTTACATAACCACGTTGTCGAAAACTGGACCCCCGTTTGCCTTGCCTTGATTCCTAAAAGAAATAGAGTCGTTTAGTTATCGTTACTTTTTCAATTCTTGGAACTACAAAATTTAAGGTTCTTAGATTTGCACAACAAGTTCGACTTGATTTAAAGAATTTTAAAACCAAGAAAACCACTTTTGTGAAGTCGCTGTGGTCATCAGAGTGACAACTGGCGGCAAATCGAGACGCACACTTCCGATAAACCTGAAAATTAGTTGATAAATTGTCGACTATTGCAAAGGAAACCTGTGCTGTAAACAATCCTTGGCCGTGTAGCGATTCTCGGGCGAATAAACAAGCATCAGCTAAAGTATCAAATGTAAAATTATGAAGCTAACTATAAGAACTGACCTTCAGTAGATCAAATCCATCTTCATTCAATGGTCGAAGCTCAGTCTAAAAAGGAAATCTGGGCTTATAATATGTTACTTTTTACCTTAAAGTTCTTTTCCTCGTAGTACCATTTGGGGAACACTGGTTGATAGTCCTGAAATCGTTCGATATCCGGCCAAACCTAAAGAAAGTTTTAATTTGCATAAAAAGCTTTAAAGTACCTTGGTGTCCGGTGTGCCCAACATGCGAAATATGCTGAAGAGTTGATCGATCTCCGAGTCACCAGTGAAGAGATTTTTTCCGCGAATCATCTAAACTTTTCAACAAATTTAGAATATTTAAGTCTTTATCTTCTTGAAAATCCATTAAGTTACTTTTTAATTAACGTTGGTTTGATGACTAACAATCGTGAAATAATGTAGAGTTGGCATCACTAACCATAGTTGAAAAAAGCATTACCTCTGCAAAAATACAGGCTAAACTCCAGATGTCTACACCAGTCGAATAATATTGAGCGCCGAGTAGAATCTAAATAAAAGCTGTAAAAAAGTTAGATTACGCTTGTGATTATATTTTTTTGGTGAGCTTTAGTTGCATTATGCGCCAGGATATTCTATTCAACCGAGTGTGCAGAAATAAACATTATCTGTCATATGCTTCGGTTGACTCAAACCAAATCACAATTTCGTTTTATCATGTTTTAGAAATAAGCTAAACGATCAGACAATGTTATTCCCGGAATCAGAAAGGACAAATCCTATCTTCTGTAAAAATAACTGAAGTTTCATTTTAGTTTCATTTGGCCATAAAAACACAAAACTATGGTACTTCGAGACTGATTCTTTGACTAAAGTATCGCACATATGTGGCAAATATCAGTCATTCATTGCAATGCCAATCCGAATCACAGCTTTCAAATGCTGGTTCCAATGCTGCACACCTCTGGAGCGCGATACCATAACGTGACGACTTCATGAGTGTAGATTCGGCTGGGAATTGAAATCGATCTCGCCAATCCAAAATCCGCTAACTTTAATATGCCTAAAAGTTGATATTTTAGTATGAAAGAAAAGTTTACCTCTATCATTGACGAGAATATTCTGTGGTTTTAAATCCCGATGAATGATCCGACGAGTATGACAGTAAGCGAGCGCTTGTAGGAGTTGAAAGAGGAAAGACTAAAAATAAAAATTGAGTGTTGCATTATCTTTACAAGATTTATATCTATCAGTTAAAAACCAAGGGGCTATAGTAGTTGGGGAGGGGCAAAATTTTTTTCGCCAACATCGCCGACTTTTTGCACCCAGGGGTTTTTGACTATGCTGAATCGATTGGTGATGATTTTACACAAAATTTCGCAACTTTTAACAACGTTTATAACAAATACTGAAAATCTGATGTACTTATTCTGGGATGAAATGGCCAAAAAGTACCCATTGTCTTGAGTCATTTCCTCGTTGGTAGCTTGCTGACATTTTGTTATTGTTATTTTTGTTGCTATTTGTTATAACGTTATTAAAATGTTGTAAAATGTTGTGTGAAACCATCAGCAATCGATTCAGCATAGTCAAAAACCTCTGGGTGCAAAAAGCCAGCACATTTGGCAAAAAAATTTTGCCCGCCTGCCCAACCACTATCTCCCCAAAACCAAAAATATTTTTATTATTCTAGCAGACATTTACTAATTTAGACAGCTTTAGCCCATTGCGTGCAACTTCACGTTCACAGCATTTATATTAAAAATCTCCAACCTTTGCGTATTCAAGCGGAAGCCGATGATTTGGAATCGTTTCTAGTAACTTCTTCAAATCTCGATCAATGAATTCGAAGATCAGATAAAGTTTCATACCTAAACAAAGAAATTTTTAAAAGAAAAGTCATAAAGCTCTACCTGATTGAATCACATCGTAAAGCTTTACGATATTACAATGAGTTAGAGTCTTCAGAAGTGAGATCTCTCGAATACACGTGCTGGGTACACCTTCGGAATCTCTAAAAAGAACAGGTTTTAAAAGATTTGTTGAAATAATTGATTTTCCTTCTGGTTAACTAAAGAGAACCGTTCGCAAAAGATTCAATTTGGTTTTCGTGCTCACTTCTTCGGAAAATTTAGCAAAAATAGTTGCAACGGAACACGAATAAAGTGGCGATAACCAAGGAAAAGTTCCGAAATTTCCGTTTTAAATAAGCCCACAGCCGATATCAAATACATCGTTCAATTTCCACTACTTTTGCAACAAAATCAAAAGCTCGAACCTATCCAAAGTGATCCTTTTGAGTGCGACAGGAGTGCCGGTCTTTCGATGTACTGCTCGAAACACGACCCCATACGTTCCTTCGCCAATTTGCTCACAATCCACGTAGTCGCCCAAGGCGGTCATTCAACCAGCCGAGTCTCGACCTAAGCAAAACAAATTGATGGGGTTGAATTTATGATAAATGAAAGAACAAAGCAAACAGCAACAAAAACAGTGCCATTTTACTTGAGGAAACCGCTTCAAACGCTCTACCGAAATGGTGTTGTTAGGTTGCGTTTTAACATCACGCAAAAGTCCCAAATTCAGGTATTATTTATGGGCGAAAAGAGAGTCGTTTTCTTGAATTTCACTTATTCAAGCTCAATTTCCGAAGTTCAAGCGATTTCCCTGTCATTTTAGCCGAAAAATCTTGATACGTGGCTTTTTCTGCCAGCTAAGGTAACAAAAATCTATCAAAGAGTGCTAAAATAAAAATATGCATTAGATAATTGGGCACTACGCCGGTTGGGTGGGCAATTTTTTTCTTCAAAACGACCTTTTCTGGGGTAGTTTTATGCGCAAATTCCGAAAAAGACAACGAGAACTTGGAAAAAGACGTTTTAAGCCGAAGTTCGGGGCTCCAAAGCTCCAGGCTCCAAGTTTTGGGGCTATAGTGTACTTCCCTATATGGAGCTCAAGTTATCGACTATTGGGGCACTTTTCAAGGTCAAAACTAGAGCCAAAACCATTTTTAACCACTAAATATTCACTTTCTATCTTAAATTGACTGGTAGAAGCAAAAGAAATTGAAAAAATATTTTTTGGGATTTTGGCCGATTTTGACTTATGTGGGGGACCACATAATCGAAATTTGAAAAATTTTTGCTCCAATTTGATCAGAAATCAAGTCAGTAGGTTAAGTTATGCTAAAGAAGTGTTTTGGCTTCAAAGAATGTTTTGAGAGACCATTGTGAGGCCTATCCCTCTCTCACACTGTATGAGCATGCACTTTGGAGCCCCGAAATTCGGCTTAAAACGCCTTTTCCCAAGCTTTCGTTGTGTTTTTCGGAAGCTACGCATAAAACTACCCTAGAAAGAGTGGTTTTGAAGAAAAAAAATTTGCCCCGCCCGACCGGCGTAGCTTGCTATACCGTAACTATTATAGCTCATACACTTTTATCTACCTCTCATTCAAATTGACAAGTCACTTGCTGTAAATACAACTAAAGCTTACTCTATAATCAAAGCCTCATCTTTATAGCCCTTTTTGTCTTTCAATTGCTGTCTTTCAATTGCATTGAATTTGCTCGAGAATCCGAAATTTGATACCGATTAGGTTGGCAACATGTGATTTGCACTTTTGAAGCAAGATTGAGCAAACGTTAAGACATGTCATTTTATTGACTTGGGTCAGCTCATAAGGAACCCATTTTCCAACGCGACTCTTTTTCCCAAGTTGATGCAAATCATTCTCAATAGTCGTACGAGATACCTCAAAAAAAATTCTGCTAGCTCACGAACAGTTAGTGTTGGATCGTCCTCAATAATTTGAGGCAAATATTCGTTGGGCACTTTTGACGGAGGTCTACCCTTTGGCTCATCGTGGAGGCTTTCAACACCATTTTGCAAACGTTCAAACGTTCTGACATTGACGCTCACTAAGACTATCATTTCGAAAAATACTCATAATGATGCGATGAGATTCAGCCGCCGATTTTTCTTGTTTAAACATCGTAGAATAAAGCAGCTCAAATATGAAATTTTTTGTCCTCCATTTTTGTGGCAAAAATTGAACGGCTAGATTGGGGATTTAAATGTTGTTTATGTAAAAGATTTGTAGTTTATATTTATGAAAAAAAAGCGAGAAAGTATTGCTTTTCAGGCTTGGAAAATGCAAAAAATAGCAAACCGACATTCCATTATTGCCAACCTAATATTTAGAATCAGATTCTTCCTTTTTTTTGCCGAAATTGTCTTTCAAAGACTCTTTATTTGCTTTATCTTTATTCAATTAAAGAAATTGTCTCATAGATAAGTGAAAGAGCAAAAATAAAGAAATCTCATTGCTGGCTTGTGCCAGGCTCAAGCCGATGATCGATCTCCGGATTGGTCACTTGCGCCAACCTCTCTCGATAATCGCCATTCATGAAGAAGTCCATTGCCTAAAATTCAAGGGATTTACAGCTACAGTTCTTTTTTCGGAGCAACCTGATTTTAAAATCAGATTCTTTTAAGCATGATTATTGAACTAATACATTTATGACACTTTTTTTTCCATTAAAAGTCTCTCACTTGTCTCACTCGCATCGTGTCCGGGTTTCCTGCTGCAAAATTGGAAATGTTCAGCTGGGGCAGTGGATTGGAGGCCGCATCGTGACTAAAACTTTATTATTTTTAAAGATTTACCGCAAGCTCTTTAGACTTAAAAAGATTCACTCTAGATAATAAACTCACATGAAAAGAACTCGAATCTGAATGATATCCGCATCTTGCACAACGAAACACGAGGGCATTTCTTTGTATTTCGATTGATTGTCCACCACTGAATCGAGGATTTAAAGGGATAAGCAAGATTGACGAAACTACGTAATCATCGTACAATTAGAGTTGTAAAAGCCTAAAGTTCAAACCCTCAACAAGCGCCAAACAGAAAGTGCCATTATCGAGAAGCCGATTCTTCTCAAAATGTTGCTGATCTTGGCATGAGCTCATCATATTGTACTGTTGAGTCACATTCTGGAAAGCATTTTTGATAATTGGTGTGAGAATTTGTCATTTCTCATCGAATTCTTTTATAGTTTATGTTTCGAACTTCAACGTTTCCAACTCACAAATTGCATCATTGGATGTGGATAATTTTTCTGCGAATACCCTTGCGAGGTCATCGCATTTTTGCCAAGATAGATGCCTAGAAATGGATTTGAAAATGAAATTTCGAGAACTAAAACCAGCTCCATGCGCAGCTCCGACAAGTTGATACACTGTCCCACTAGCGACCATCAGACCTTCGGACAGGATTTTGTACCAATTCTCCACGGGACTTCCACTAAAATTGGGAGTAAACTCAGTAGCCGATCTACTCAATAGCTGATCTACTCAATAGCTGATCTACTCAATAGCCGATCTACTCAATAGCCGATCTAATCAATAGCCGATCTACTCAATAGCTGATCTAAATATTCGATATGTGCTAAAATGATTAACCAAATCTATCTCTAAATGATTAGCGATACAAGAAGAAGGCGCGACAAGGAAATATGAATGCGGTTTAATTGAGAAGGAATGGGTTAGACAGGTTTTTCGGTGACACAAAAGTACGAATTCGTCGCCCTCACAAAGTGAAAGAGGCCAAACGGCGAACATATCAGGCTGGCCGGAAAGTCTTGTCAGCTTTTTTAAAGGTCACTTTTTGAAGTGAATAATAAACCAATCGATCTATGGCTTTTTTTATTAAAAAGTTCTATTATTTATTTACCAATTGCCCTTTAAGAAATGCTGAAAAGCTCGCGTTAGCTATTTTTTTTAAAAGGTTTGAAGTCGAGCAGTCAAGAACGATGAAATTCAAAGTTCAAAGGTGAAATTCAAAGTTCTGATTTGAGCACCTTTTGTCACAGAAACCTATTTTGGCTACTTGTCCGCAAAGACCAGAAAACAAGTCCGGACCTGGTTTCAGCATTGCTTGACCTGGCCAAGGCTGGCCCACAATAACCTTGCCAGAAGCTAGGCCTGAGTCTGGCATGGTTATTGCATTATACTGTACTCTAGGCCTTACTGCCTTAAGTACAGTACCCACTACAGTACATGATTGCATTCAATCCCTTCACCTACTGAAAAGCGAAGAAACTTCGTCCACCAGCTTCCTCCAAGCATTTCTAAAATTCTCCTTTCAATGACATATTTATTAGCAAACCTGAAATCGTTCTTCTTTCTCAGTGGGAACGGGAGGTAAAACGTATTGGTGTTCGGTTTGAACGGATTTTACCCGGAAACGAGGTGGGAGACGACACATTACGGGTAAACGATTTGATAACCTGAATTGGTTGATTTTAAAAACACTTTGATCTTTTTCTTTTTTCTTTCAACGATTCGAGAGTCATAAGCCTTCATTTTTTTGAATTTTACCATAAAAGAAGATTAGCTTTGTCCGTTGTGTGATTGTTTTGCCGAAAGCGCTCGAAAGTGGCCCAAGTTGAGAAAACGCATCGAGTGCAATAGCCGATCAAAGCTGCGTTCAGATGTTGGATTTCACTGAAAATGAACTGTAGAGTAGATTGGAATGGATTGGATTTTCTAAAAATTGCATTTATCATTGTCTATGGGGTTGTCTTTAAAGGAGGGGCGGGGAATAATCGCGACCGGATAACCATAAAAATTTTTTAAGGCAACCACCTGTTTTTATATCTTGATATTGTTAATTTTATTATAAAAAGAATAAAAATCACCCGGCTAGAGTGATTTTATGGGATTACGAATTTTTGGAGACGTTGCAAGGCGCGCGTCGTTCATCTACAAGGGTAGTGCGAAAGTAAAGCAAAAGTCACGCACTATGTTTTCTTTTTGTTTTCTCTAGACTTCTGATCTATATTTTTGGTTTTTTCCTCATCATAAAATATATTTTTAGGGTTTCTAAACAAAATGGAGGCGGAAGAAGAGCTAAACGAAAAGCCGGCATTGGTCATGTACGCTGTTGAATTGTTGTTGTTGTTGCGTACGCTCATTTGAAGAAACTATTACAAAGATGCCCAGATTGTGGAAAACTTCCGAGCGGTCAAAAAAGAGGATAAGAATAAAAGATTGCATGAACAACAAATGGATCGAACCTGACAGCAATCATTCGTGCCTGGTGCCTAATGAGTGACGATCTTGCTTTTCTCCAAGCCTTGGCAACGTCTCCAAAAATTTGTAACCCCATCAAATCACTCTAGTTGGGTAATTTTTATTCTTTTTATAATATAGCTTATATTAAGATATAAAAACAGGTGGTTGCCTTAAAAAATTTTTATGGTCACCCGGCCGCGATTAATACCCCGCTTTAAAGGACAACCCATTGCATTAACAAAGCGGTCAAGGAAAGTGACTAATTGTAAAAGCACTCTGCCAGGTCCAGGTCTGGTCTTAGCTCAGGTCCAAGTTTAGGAGTAAGGTACAAGGCCCTACTCTGGCGCCGATGGCATACGTGTCGGTGTAGCTCATTGATAGAGTGTTTGCCCGGTAAGCGAGAGGTCACGGGTTCGAATCCCGGCGCTAACCATGCTTTGTATACCCAGCCCCAATCTATAAAAGAACTGGCGTGTTCAACTCAGTGCCAGATTCAGGAGTAAGGCATAAGACCAGACCTAGAACTGTCCAGGACTTTGGGGTCCAAAGTCCAGGAAACCCAGATCCTGGCCTGGTTGATGACCCAGTGCTTTCCTTAGGTCAGTTCTGCAAAACCAGTCCAGGCCAATCGAAGCCAGTCTTGCCAAGGTCAGACCCCAGATCCAGTACCAAATTCACTACCACGAACCCTATGCCAAGCATTTGATCATCGAGTGGATCCGGTCGACAAATCAGATTCCGGCGAGCCGACACATTCGCATGAAAGAAGAGAAAGTTGAATACATGAGCCGTGTCCGCATTCATCACTTGATCGCATTTCTTTCCCTCATGGCGCTCGTTGTAATCTTTTTCGCAAAGTCTGAATGGTTTTCATGAAATTTGACAATTCTTAAAGGCTTCCATACCTGCAAAAATTGTACCCACACTTCGGATTCTCGCATCGAAACACGGAATGCACCTCTTTGGCAATCTCAATTACCACTGCGAATTCACAGTGCTGACATCTAAAAATTGTAATTAACACCTAAAACTGAGAGATTTTAAGAAAAGTCTATAATTTTTACAGATTTTTTCAACGTTGTACCTTTCAAGGTTCTCCAAATTTGCCTCATCAAGCGCGGCTGTTAACAGTTTTCTGGTGAACGCGTTTCGCTGCTTTTCCGTCAAAATCGGAGTCACATGAGCTTGAAAATTGCAGTTTACGTACAGATTTTGCTATTTGTACAATACAGAACTATTTTCTGCAAGTATTTTTGGCTAATTTTAGCAAAAAACTGGACTCAAATCAATGCAATGGTTAGGAAAGCGACTACTCGGCTTTGGCTCATTGAAAGCACCTATGAATTGTACTGAAAGAAGCTCGTGGTTTGTTAGTTTTCTTTCAGTTTCTTTTTATGATGTTTTCCCCAGTTATTTACCTTCAAAAATCACTCCATCACACTCTTGGCGAAGACATTTCACCCCAAGACCGACCGCCGAAATGTAGGCATTCGCCGTGCTGGCATGAGCTTGAACACAGCGACCACAGAAGGAATGAGGTTCTAGAAAAAAAGAGTTGAGATAGCTTTTGTACTTGCAAACCTCGATTCTCATCATTTTTCACTAGAGAATTGCACGAGATCGCGTTTTTCGTCTCAAAGCTTTCACGACACGCCGAACAGTTAAAGCACATCGATTGCTCGTAACTCGAAATGGTCTAAAGCGTTGGCTTCGATTACTCGAGATTTATCTTTCATGAGTAGACTTTTTAGGAGCATACAGTAGAAAGCATAAAGTAGGCACTCTATCTGGCATAAAACACTTTTAAAAACCTCACATTCTTGATGATTGCTTGATAAGATTTCCACATGTTCAGCGCGAATTTCGGCAAATCGACCCCATACGCGTTTTTTGTTTCAAGCTCTCGTCTTTCGTGATTCTCGTTGAAAATCGGAGCAACAGATTTTGGAGGCAAAACTGAAAACAATTGCCGGATTTGTTTTTGTTTGTTTAACACCGAAATTCCCATACACTGATATTTCCGCAATCTCTCCTCCAATCCGTAATCGCAGAGACCCAAAATGAGGGAACACTCGAAAAAGTCCCGTCTCTTCAGCAATTCATAGATTGTGCTCATTCGAAGCTGAAAAGGGTTAAAATTATTCAAAATTTTGAACAGTAAACTAAAATATTGTTATTGTAAATAAAAATTTGTAAAATAAGCGAGAAAAAGGGGGACAACTATTAGGTATGTGAAAAAGTAATCCACGTTTTTTATTTTTATTTTGTTTAAATAAATATATCTAAACAATTTTTTATTTTTTGTGAACGATATATATATATATATCGTTTAAAAGCTTATTGTTTCCTCTTTCGAATGATATATTTATTTTGTTAAAAGGACGACAATAAACTACTTTCATTTTAGTTTGAAAATGGTATACACAAGTATCGTTATTCGGTCAAATTTGCTTTATGAGTTCAAAAATGGGTTGAAAGCTGCGGAGGCTGCACGTCGAATTCGGAATGCGTTTGGCGAAGACGCCGTTATTGATGATACCGCTAGGTTTTGGTTCCGACGATTCAAAGGTGGTAATGAAAGCCTAGAAGATGAACCACGTGGCGGTCGCCCTGAGACCTGTTCTGATGACCAAATGACCGCTGTTTTCTCGAAAACCCTCGTTCAACCTCTTCAGAAATAGGTCTTACATTAAATTGTGATGGATCAACCGTAAGGAAACGCTTGAATGCCATGAATTTTATTTAACGAAACTTATGGTCTATTATATTTAAACGTTAAAAACGTGGATTACTTTTTCACACACCTAATAAAAGAGGGACAACTAAAAAATGGGACACTTTTAGGGGGACATTTAGAGTAATATTTAGGGAAACATTTAGGGAAGCACTTGTATAAGTTTTCGGTTTGTTGATAATATCTACCTTTGGGTATCGATCCCGGAGAAACAATCCCATTTTCACAAACTCGTCGTTCGATGGAATCTCTTTAATCTCATCATCTGCGTGACATCTTTCTCTGAAAGTTCATCGATTATCGTCTAAATCGATTAAACCAACGTTTTCAGCAACTCAGCCCACAACGCTTCACCAATTTGCTCCTTCTTGAAGAGTTGCTCTTCGTGATTGCTTCTAGAATGACCGAAAATTGAAACCGATATTTTGATTAGAACTTCAACGATTGACATAAGCCATTCAGCTAATCAAAAGCAAAAAAAAAGCTATTCTTTTGTCTTATGTACCAAGTACCAACTCCTTGAGTAAGAGCGGCTAACCTACAGGATACAATAGTCAAGGCACGCTTCAACTACCCGAGTTATAGTTAGAAAAGTTTTTGCTACAGTTACCCAAATTTTAGCACGAACCATATTCCGTAATTTAACCGCTTTTACAGTAACTCAAGTAGCTGGTAACTTAGAATAATCAAAACTCTATAGACTACAACTCTTTTTACCCATTTGCTCGTTGTTGTTGTTGTTGTCGTAGTTGTTGAGAAGTTGATGGAAGACTCAAAGTTTCTCCGTTTGTTCGATTGTTTGTCGATGTTCCAGCTTGATCTCCATTTTCCTAAAAGCTTTCCAATTAAACCAATATCGCCAGCAACCACAAAAGCAAAAGCCAAACCGATATCGCCAGCAATCTTTCGTACAGCTCATCCTCCGTCAATTTGGCAAGTGGTCGGATTTGATCTTCGGTGAGATTGGGAAAGATTTCAAGCTAAAAATTTGCATTTTGAAAATGAAAATCTATAAAGTATACTAAAAGCAATTGAAAAATACGAAAGAATTCGTTTTTTAGCATTTTTACGGTTCAAAAATTCACCATTGCATCGATTCTCGGTCTAATTCCTTCTGAATCACTCGTAAATCCATCTTCAGCAAACATTTTTCTAAAAATATTTTGAATTAGCAAGAAAAATGGGTAAAACGGTGTTGTTTTTACTTGAAAAACATCAGCTGTGAAAAAATGAAAAGAAAACGGCTCTTACGCGAGGTAATTCCACAAAAGAGGACTGGGAAAAAGAGACAAACTACGAATTTTGTTGGCAAGTTTTCCCTCGAGCAAAGAAATCGCAAAGAAAATGTGTAGTGCAAAGTTAGTAACCATTCAACCTTACCCAAAACCTTCCTACTCACCAACTCTTTTTTCTAAAATAATTAGACACAAAAGCCAAGAAGAAAAACCCTAAGAAGATCTGATTTGATAGATTTGATTTGATAGTTTTCGTGCGTTTTAGTTGAAAGAGAATTGGTTAAGCTAAGTTTATGCGGCACGTATAAAAAGAGTAGACAATGGAGTAGAAGAGAGCCGAGAGAAACGAAACGGAATCATTTTAGAAATTTAAATAGGAAACATAGGGGGGGGGGGGAATTATAACGGAAAGGGAATGTGGGCAGACAGATAACCTTAAAACGGATGGTTTTTACAGAAGGGGAAATTAACTGATACGGGACTCGGCAAAAAGCGAAAAAAACCCGCGAAAAAACCAGGGCTTGACCGCAGTGCTGGTTACTAGTCAACTTTTGAGGTCACTACTAGACTAGTAATCTTTTTTTGCTAGCCTACTAAAACCATTACTACTCTAGTAACTTTTAGAGATAAATACTAGACTAGTAATGTTACTAGTTTAGTGATTTTGGCAAAAGTTCCCTGTACTTGCTTTAGGTTTGTAGTTTGTAGTTAGTTATAGTTTGTAGAAAAATCCTCACTTTAATCAAAATTTATTAACAAGTTTATTCGTAAAAATATCTTTATCGAAATGCGCCAATTTCCCTTGCACCAAGTGAACTTTTTTTCAAAAACACTTTAACTACTCGCAAGAATTTGTTGATTTTTGATTACATTTTGATTATTTGATTCACAAAAATTAGATTATTCTGACGAATAGAGTATAGAAAAATATATTTTTTATGTTTTTCATTTCCTTTTGTGCCTTTTCCTTGCTTTATTGATTTCAAGTAGTGTTCAGATTTAGGAGAAGCGGCGATATCCTTCTCAATCACCACAATATCTTGCGGCATTTTCGATAAACGGCAAACCGGTAAGGGTTTTATTTCTAATATCTCTACAACTTCTAAAACCACTTTTTTGTTATTTGGCAAGTTTAGAAATTGTAAAGTTATCTAAGAGTTACGCGAGTTAAATGTTGAGTTAAATGTATACCGGATTCCATGCCGGATCGACTTAATGAAGTAATAAAAGCAAAGGAGGGCCAACCAAGTATTGATTTTAAAAAATGGTGTTAATTCTTCGCAAATGGGGCATTACTTTTGTGGAGCTAATTTTTAAGTAACTTATTGGTTTTGTTTTATACTTTAATTTGTATGTAATGTATACGGATAAATCTCATATTCTTGAAAAGTAGAGTCTTGTAGGTAGATAAAAATACCCTACTCTTTTTCTGAAATGTCAATTTTGCAAGATTTCCTTGGATGGCAATGGGGCATTTACTTTTGTGGACCACTGTATGTTACTTTCAATTTTGAAACCTTTTAATGTTTGAATAATGTTTTTGCATTAGAATCGCTAAATTACTAAAATTGAAAAATGTAGTAAAATTTAATTGTAAAATGAGTTTTCTAGGGTAAAAAGAGGTTTCGAAGATAAAAGGTTTCAAAATCGGACGTAATGTATACATTCTAATTTGTAGATGATCTTCGGAGATTGTCGTGCATGAGTTAGCAACTAAGTGGAGTGCAGAACAATCAAAGGTAAAGTGTATTTGTGCTTTTTATAAAGATTGAGATTTAGGTTCTTGTCACCGGACACATTTTTCAACAAAAACAAGGAGTTCTATTACGACGATGTTGAAATAGACCTACAGGCGAATAAACAAGAAAAGCGGTGGGAAGATTTACAGGTGATTCCAAAAAAAAACTATCGTACTGTTTTTGTTAAGGTGTGTAAAGAAAAATAGCAGAGGCTCTGCTAAAGACACTCCGGCAGAAACGGTTTTAAAAAAGATCACTGAAAATTCAGTCAATCATCAGCCACCCAATTACGGAAAAGAGGTATATTTAGTTCTGTGCCAACAACACACTATGTTTATTTAGTTGCGATTTATCAAGAAAGCCGTAAAGTCTGATGTGGCAAGCGGAACCCCGACAAGTGTGACCATAACCGTGTCCGAAGAGCTGATTTGGACGTTAAATGGTTTCTAAATGAAACAGTTGGATCCTTCGGCTATAGCGATAATGAGCTTATGAAGAACGTTCTCAACATCCTCCGCACATCAATCAGTGAGAATGCTTTGAGTCTTTGAGTCAATCAAAAAAAGCCCATCGCTAAAAGAACTAATACTTCAAATTCAATTTCAAATTCAACCTCTAGAAATCTTTCTAATCAGAGCTTATCTTTTCATTGATCAATGAATCTCCATCCAATGTGTTCCCCCTTCACTCATCAATCTCTTTTTCTCTTTCTTTTCCCGTCCTTTTTGTCAGGTTCATTTAGGGCGGCTGTTCCTTGGAATCAATAAGAAAAGGGGATCGAATCGGTGCGAAAAGTGACCGCATAGTGGTTATTACAATCGTTTCGATAAGCATGTACTAATCGTTGTTTACAACGAAAATATTTGATCTCATAAATGTCATCTTTGAGCGCATAGCTCTTTTGCTTTTAGCTTCGAATTTCGGTTTTATTTTATCGCTTTCCACGAGGCAAAATTCAGTTGAACCGCAAATATTGGTTTTAAGCTAGAGAATGGATACTTTAGCCAAAAATCAGCTAACATTCTTTTTTATCTAATTGGAGATTTCGTTCGTTTACCTTTTCAACTTTCATAACTCCTCATTTACGTCAAAAAAGGCGTGACTAAGCACGTTCAGAATTCAAGCTCAAATTTCAAATACCTTTTCTAGAGCGGCACGAAAAACAAGTTCGCTGTGGAAAAAACGTCAGCTGGACGTTGACCGATCCTCTCTTTAGCGGTGTTCCTGTTTTCCGCTTCTTTTCTCCATCTTTTTTCGGAAAGCTCTCTCAAAAAGGTGTCCCTTCAATCTTCAGTCGGACCGGGGGGACGAGTGTGCTTAACGTTTGTGCCATCACTTTCCTCATTGCGGACTTTGATCATTTCTTATCGTGATTACTTGCAAAGCTTTTGTCGATCAATTAACGATAAATTTAATCAATAATCTTCTGATTAAGGTAGTTTTTTAGCTAATAAAACAGTCTTAATAAAACTGATTTGAGCCTAAATAAAAAACAAAACAAAACCAGTAGAATATAGTAATTTGCTTAAAAGGCACAGTACTTTTAGAAAAAGTTGAGAACAGATTTATCATATTTATTTACCTTATTTATCTTATTTACCTTATTTACTATACTTGTTTAGTAACAGTTTTTTTTTTTGAAAAAAAATCATCACTTATCCTTTAGTTCTTTTTCCAACTATTAAACCCTCTTTCCCAAGGCCTCAAATCCATTCACTAAACACTCAAAGGTGAGAAAATGGTTCTCTCCTCTTCTCTTTGACCTTGCTCGATCATTAGTTATTGTCTTGATCGGAAGGAGGAGGGAAATCACACCGATCTTCACAAAGAGAGTCTTAAAATAACGGAAATGTGTTTATGGATTTGGATTTGTAGCTTTACGAGAAATGCTTTGAAGAAATTTTTAGTTTTAGTCTTGCCAATGGCTTTGATAGGACTGAAACTGTCTACTTTGTTGTTAAAACGTATAAACTATAAACGTATAAACTATAAACCATAAACTATAAACGTATAAACCATAAACTAAACTATAAACTAGACTATAAACTAGACTATAAACTAGACCATAAACTAGACCATAAACTAGACTATAAACTAAACTATAAACTAGACTATAAACTAAACTATAAACTAGACTATAAACTAAACTATAAACTAGACTATAAACTAAACCATAAACTAGACTATAAACTAAACCATAAACTAAACTATAAACCATAAACTATAAACCATAAACTATAAACCATAAACTATAAACTATAAAGGATTATAAACGTAACGTAGAAACTTTTGTATCTTCCCAAACACTCTCACTATCAGAACCTAAAGCAGTTAGATTGGATAAAAATTAGAAGCAAAATCAAGACAGTCTTCGAAAGGTGACACGTTTTAGAGAGCCACCGTTGGATTGATTGTTGTTGGCTCTGTAAAATTGTACGTGCTAGTGCGCTGGAAAAATAAGTTCACTTCAATTTCTAGATTTAAAAGGCAATACTGAGCAAATCTCCTCGAAAAAGGGGATCATTGCCCTCTCATCTTTCCCCTTGCCTCTTTTTGCTTTCAGTTTTTCAATAGTGTTGCTCATTTGTCTCCCCTCTTCACCCTCCTTTTTTCTTTGTTTTCCCACTGGACACTTCCCAGGGTTGCACAAAGTCGTTTTTCAATCTTTCTCCCATTTTCCTCTTTGCCTGAAGACCATTCTTCTAATACCCGCCTCGATACTTCTTTTTTGTTTTGCACTAGTCATTTTCTTGATTCATTTTTGAAAGTTTTTGTATAAGGAAGAGACGTATCTCGGCAAGATATCCAAAGCGGTTATCGGAGAAATCGAGACGGCAAAAGTCTCCGTTTGATAATCGGATGCTTAAAGGTGATAAAGCTTAAAGTAAAGTAGACAAACGGCCCTATAAACGCTTTGAATTTGCTTCAAATCTGCCGCATTCACATGATCTATAGCTCAAAAACTAGAGAACCTCAAGAGCTTTCGAATGGACCAATGTACACCCAAAAATATCAATGCTAAAGAAAGCTACAGTGGCTTGTGGAGCAATTTTGTCTGACTGAGGACTGACTAAGACTGAGGAAGAACTGGTTCTGAAAATTCTAGCTTAAAGCCTATTCAATCAACTTTTTTTAGAATTCTATTTTGCACTATTCATTTTGATTATCAAGTAT